CCGGGTGTTGGGGCACACTCCTATACCCTACAAATGACTCTTGTTTACCCTTCTTTATGGCAGTAGTACTCCATTGTGTATAAATACCACATGTTCTTGTCCATTCATCTGTTGATGGACATATAGGCCACTTCCATGACTTAGCTATTGTGAATTGTGCTGCCACAAACATAATTATGTATGTATCACTGTAATATGATGTCTAATTCTTTCAAGAGGATACTTGGAAGGGGAATAGCTGGGTCAAATGGAATTTGTACTTTTAGTTTTGGGGGGAATTTCCATGCTGATTTCCACGGTGGCTATTTTAGTTTATATTCCCACTAACAGTGTAGAAGGATTTCCTTTTCACTGCAGCCTTGCTAGGATTTGTTATTATTTGATTTCTTGATGGCAGCTGTTCTTTCTGGAATACAGTGGAATCTCAGTGTTGTTTTAATTAGAATTTCTGTAATGGCCTGAGACGTTGAACATTTTTTCATGTATTTACTGGCCATTTGTACTATTCATTTCAGTTGCCCGTTTTTGATAGGGTCTTTTATTTTGTAGGGGTCTGATTTTTTTACAGTTTTTATATATTCTAGATATTAGTCCTCTGTCTGAGAAGTATCTAGCAAAAATTTTCCCCATTTTGCAGGTCTTTACTCTGTTGTTGTTTCCTTTGCTGTGCAGAAGCTTTTCAATTTGATATAATTTATTATATAACAACTGTTGCCAGTTGTTGACTCTTGATATTATTTCTTGTCAAATTGGGGTTTTGTTCAGAAAGTCCTTGCCTATGCCTATGTCTTTGAGAGTTTCACCTATTTTATCTTTCAGCATATTGAATGTTTCTATTTTAATATACTTTGAACCATTTTGAATTTACTTTAGAACGTGGTGAGAGATATGGCTCTAGCTTCAATCTTCATCATGTGGAAAGCTAGTTTTCCCAGCATCATTGTTAAAGACTCCATCTTTCCTCCTGTTTATGTTTATGGCCATTTTGTCAAAGATCAGATGGCTGAATGTGTCAGCAGTTGTTTCTGCACAATTTATTCTGTTCCAATGATCCACATGTCTATTTTTGTGTGAGTACCATGCTGCTTTTATCACTGTAACTTGGTAATATAATTTCAAATCTGGAGTTGTGAAGTCTCTAGCTTTGCCTTGGTTACTCAGTATTGCTTTTGCTGTTCTGGGTTTCTTCTGATTTCACATGAATTTTAGGATTATTTTCTCTAGTTATGTTAGAAAATCTTGTCAGTGCTACTTTTATAATCTCTCCAGAACCTGATGACTTCTCACTACTCACACAGCCTCCACACTGGCACATAGTACCATCATCTTTTGCCTGAGTTCAATGGCCTCTTCAATGGCCTCTTACTGAGTCTCCCTGCTCTACACTTTCACCGCAGTCTGATCAGTCAGTCTAGGCCAGAGTGATTTCATTAAAATGCAAGTCATACCATGCTACTCCTCTGCAAAACCCTTTAATGGCTCCCCATTTCCCTTAGCATTAAACCCATAAATCTCTAATGATATTAATGTCTTTTTTTATATGAGCTGTTTTTCACATACTCTTCTGACAGTATCTCCTATTTTCTCTAACATTTTCTTTATGTGAGCCATACTGGTCTCATTACCATTCTTCCAATACCCCAGGACCTTGGCACTTGCTATTCCCTCTGCCTGCAATTCCCTTTATCCAGATATCCAAATAGCCAGATTCCACATTTCTTCAGATGTCTACTAAAGCCAAAACCCAAAACAACAACCATAACAATAAAAAACCCTTACAAATGAAGCCTCCCCTGACCACCTTATTTAAAGTTTGAACCATTCATATCCTCTCAAAACATTTATGATCACCCTTTCTCACCGCCCTAGCACTTACAACTGTTTACCACACTGGGTGTCAATAAACTATGTCCTTAGTGCAAACTCTGTTTCACCCTCTATTCATACAATACACAAAGAATAGCTCTACATTTTTAGATGATTGACATAAATGAAAAGAAGAATAATACTTTATGACATATTCAAATCATGTGAAATTTAAATTTCAGTATTTCTAAATATAGTTTATTGGAATATATTGTGTCCATTTGTTTACATTTTGCCCATGGATGCCTTCACAGTACAATAGCAAGATGAGTAGTTGCCAACAGAAACCATGGAGCTTGCAAAGCCTAAAATATTTATTGTGTGGATTTTTACAAAAAAATCTGCCAACCTTATAATATACCATAATACCTACTTATTTTTTATTGTCTATCTTTACTAGTACAATATAAATACCTTGGGAGCAGGAGTTTTTATTTGTTTGTTATTATATCCCCAATGGCAAAACAGTAGTTAGTAGTTAACCTGTCAATACATATTTTTTATTTAGTAGTTGATAGTCAAGAAATATTTTTGAATGAATGAGTACTGAAAATTAGAAAGCTTGGCAATGAAAGGAAAGACAGAGAGGTAAAATTTGAGGAGGATGCCAAGGTCCTAATTAAAGAAAACTCTGGGCTAAGGGTGGAGCTTAGTGGCAGAACATTTGACTAGCATTTGGGAAGCCTTGTGTTCAAGCCCCAGCACTACAAAAGTGTACCTTGAAACATAAATAATTGTAGTGACGGAAAGAATCAGTAGAGAAAGAATAAGGAGCTAGGATTGAGATCTGTGGAATAAGGCCACTAGAGAAAGGTCTTCCTTTTAGAGGTAGAAGAAAGCATGGATAGAGAGGACAGAAACTGATGTTCATGCCAGTGGCTACAAGCGCAGCAAAACACACAGAAAGATCTTTTGATAAAACAAAGGAGAAGATAGGGGGCTTAAGAAGAGAGAAATGTTTTGGAGTAACAACTATAGGTGAAATGATAGTAAGTTAACAGGAGTCAGGATTTTCAAAAAGAGTAAGCACCATGAAAAAGCAGAAAATTTTAGCTGATCTAGTAAATATGATATCATAAAGTTTCCCAGTAATGTTCAAGCAGCTTACAGGAAAGACTGAGAAAAGCTTGCAATAAAAATTTTTTTTTTATTTTAAAGAATAAAAGAAGGATAACATAATAATAGGGGGGACTTAGCAAATTACACACAAAATGGTAGGAAATTATCAATGGTTATCGTTTTACATATTATTATCTACAAAATAGTTTCTCAGGAAAACAAATAGACAAATAATAGTGAGTTAGAGACAAA